AAAATGAGATACCATTATACACCTATTAGAATAGCTACACTTAAAAAAAATTTTTTTTTGAGACAGAGTCTTGCTCTGTTGCTCAGGCTAGAGTGCAGTGGCATGATCTCGACTCACTGCAACATCTGCCTCCCAGGTTCAAGCGATTCTTTTGCCTCATCCTCCCAAGTAGCTGGGATTACAGGTTCCTGCCTCCACCCCTGGCTAATTTTTGTATTTTTAGTACAGATGAGGTTTCACCATGTTGGCCAGGCTGGTCTCGAACTCCTGACCTCGGTGATCTACCTGCCTTGAACTCCCAAAGTTCTGGGGTTACAGACATGAGCCACCACGACTGGCCTATATTTTTTTCTTTAACAGACAAGATCAAGTGTTTGCAAAGATGAGAACAACTGGAACTCATACATTGCTGGTGGGAAAGAAAACAGTATAAGCACTATGGAAAAACAGTCTGGGGACCAGGTGCAATAGCTCCTACCGGTAATTCCAGCACTTTGGGAGGTCCAGGTGAGAGAATCGCTTGAACCCAGGAGATGAGACCAGCCTGGGCAACATGGCAAGACCCCATCTCTATAAAAAATAAAATAAAATAGGCTGGGTGTGGTGGTTCATGGCTGTAATCTCAGAACTTGAGGATGAGGCAGGCAGAGCATGAGGTCAGGAGTTCGAGACCGGCCTGGCCAATATGGTGAAACCCCGTCTCTACTAAAAATATAAAAATTAACTGGGCGTGGTGGTGCGCGCCTGTGGTCCCAGCTACTTGGGAGGCTGAGGCAGGAGAATTGCTTGAACCTAGGAGGTGAAGGTTGCAGTGAGCCAAGATCGTGCTACTGCACTCCAGCCTGGGCAACAAAGAGTGAAACTCCATCTAAAAAAACAAACAATGACAAAAAAGAGGCCAGGTGCGGTGGCTCACGCCTGTAATTCCAACACTGGGAGGCTGAGGCGGGAGGATCACTTGAGCCCAGGAAGTGAAGGCTGCAGTGAGCTGAGATCACACCATGGCACTCCAACCTGGGCAACAGAGCCACACTGTCTCAAATGAAGAAAGTAAAAGAAAAATAGCCTGGAAGTTTTTTTTACAAAGTTAAACATATGCGCCCCACCCCAGTATAATCCAGCACTCAGCATCTATTTATTCCCATTCCTAGGTGAGAATTTACTCAAGAACAATAAAAACATGTCTGCTCAAACACCTGTACTCAAACGTTTACAGTGGTTTTATTCATGGTGACGAGAAACAGGTGGCTGCGATGGCTCATGCTTATAATCTCAGCACTTTGGGAGGCCGTCCTGGACAAATCACTTGAGCACAGGAGTTCGAGGCCAGCCTCGGCAACATGACAAAATCTTGTCTCTACAAAAAATTAAGAAAAGTTTTAAAACCTGCCAGTCATGGTGGCATGTGCATGTAGTCCTAGCTACTCAGGAGGCTGAGAAAAGGATCACTTGAGTTTGAGGCTGAAGTGAGCTATGATTTCACCACTGCACTCCAGCCTAGACGACAGAGTGAGACCCTATTTCCAAGAAAAAAGGTAGAGAGAGGCTGGGTGCGGTGGTGGCTCACACCTATAATCCCAGCACTTTGGGAGGCCGAGGTGGGCGGATCACCTGAGCTCGGGAGTTCGAGACCAGCCTGACCAACATGGAAAAACCTGTCTCTATTAAAAATACAAAATTAGCAGGGCGCGGTGGCGCATTCCTGTAATCCCAGCTACTCAGGAGGCTGAGGCAGGAGAATCACTTGAACCAGGAGGCGTAGGTTGCAGTGGGCTGAGATCTTGCGATTGCTCTCCAGCCTGGGCAACAGAGTGAAACTCTGTCTCAAAAAAAAAAAAGGCCAGGCTCAGTGACTCATGCCTGTAATCCCAGCACTTTGGGAGGCCGAGGTGGCAGATCACCTGAGGTGAGGAGTTCAAGACCAGACTGACCAACATGGGAAACCCTATCTCTACTGAAAAATACAAAATTAGCCAGGTATGGTGGCACATGCCTCTAATCCCAGCTACTCAGGAGACTGAGGCAGGAGAATCACTTGAACATGAGAAGCGGAGGTTGCAGTGAGCCGAGATTGTGCCATCGCACTCCAGCCTGGGCAACAAGAGCAAAATTCTGTCTCAAAAAAAAAAAGAGCAAGCGAGAAAGAGAAATGTTAATGTAGATTCGGATATACCCAGAACTATAGAATCAGGTGCTGTGGGGGTGAGGTCCAGAAATCTGTGCTTATTTATTTATTTATTGAGACAGAGTTTTGCTTTTGTCATCCAGGTTGGAGTGCAGTGGTGCAGTCTCAGCTCACTGTAACCTCTGCCTCCCGGGTTCAAGCAATTCTCTTGCCTCAGCCTCCCAAGTAGCTGGGATTACAGACACCCACCACCATGCTTGGCTATTTTTTTTTTTTTTTTATTTATAGTGAAGATGAGGTTTCATCATGTTGGCCAGGCTGGTCTCAAACTCCTGACCGAAGGTGATCTGCCCGCCTCAGCCTCCCAAAGTGCTGGGATTACAGGCATGAGCCACTGCGCCTGGCCAGAAATCTGTATTTTAAAAAGCTTTCCAGGTGATTCTGATGCACACTAATATTTGAGAATCAATGGTGTAGGAGAAAGCTCACTGGTCCCTGTGTCCTTGTTCTGGTTCAGCCTAGCAGCTATATGACTAACCATGGCTGAATCCTTAAATGTCTGAAAACTCAGTTGTATAGGGTATAACAAGGGGTTTAGAATGAAGCCTGCAGACCCTTCTGCTCTAAAATTATGTGAAAGTAAATAAATGTTGCAATTACTAGGTTCATTCAGTCAACAAACACTTATGTACAAGGTAGTGTGTTCTGTTCATGGAATCAATGTATGACACAAAATTGCAACCAAAATATGGTAACTTTATAATTAAATGACTTGCAAATTTTCAGACCACAAACTTTTACCTGTCCTCAATTTTCAAGATTTTCATACTGCATCTGTTGTGTAATGTGAACTAGAAAACTAAGAAAATGATCCAAAGGGACCCACCTTTCTAAAATTACTTTTTTTTGTTTGTTTGTTTGTTTTGAGCCAGAGTCTCAGCTCACTGCAACCTCCCCTTCCTGAGTTCAACCAATTCTCCTGCTTCAGCCTCCGGTGTAGCTGGGATTACAGGCGTGCGCCATTACGCCTGGTTAATTTTTGGTATTTTTAGTAGACATGGGGTTTTGGTATGTTGGTGAGGGAGGTCTGGAACTCCTGGCCTCAAGTGACCCACCTGCCTTGGCCTCCCAAAGTGCCTGACCTCAGTCAAGTTTCAGTACACTGCAAGTACAGGAGATGGCGCCAGAAGGCAGTGGGATGCTCAGTTTGGGTTTAAGGGTTTTAGCCAATGCGAGAGAGGAAAGAGCTTGAGAGAGAGGTCAGAACTAAAACAAAGGTGCCAGAGTTGAGTGGAAATTAAGACCGAGTGGGGAGAGGGAGCGGCGTCACTTTAAAACAAGCAAACAAACAAAACTTACAATAAGGGTCCTCTTGACACCTGCTCCAAATCAGCACAGCTAGAAAGCAACGACAGAAATAGCCACAGTGAAGCCGAAGCTCAAGATACAGTCAAGCGCGTGGAGGATGGCGCTCGCCTCCTGGCTCCTTGGCTCCTAGAGAGGAGGGCCTTTGTCGTCTGGGAGGCACAAGCACCTGGATGCGCTGCTCACCCAAGATCAGGGAAGTGTTGACTCCGGGCTAAGACATCCTTGTGACACAATGTGCAGTTGTAGTTGCATAGGCAAAATCCCAAAGCCCGCCAGAGTGAAATACTTCCCAGAAGGAATCATACACAAAACATCTTCAATTAAAATTTAAAAATTCATAAACGAGCCAGGAGGTGGCGCCTGGCAAGACGCGCTGCCTGCCTGGGGAATCGGAATCTCAGCTTAGCGCTCCACGGGAACTCTGTCCCGGCGGAGGTCATTCTTCCCCACTAAATCTCTTCTTTCATACCAAGGTGTCTCTGCTTCCTTTTTTTGTTTCTTTGTGCTAAATACCCTGATTCCGAGGAAGTCTGATTTATACTTCAAGCCTTTTACTCTTCTTTAGATGGGATGGATGGGGCTTTGGGGAACCCGAAATCAGAAAACTTTCCTGAAGGGGACAAATAATTCGGAGGGTGATAGGAGAAGAAAAAGGGAAATGACATCAGCAAACTGGCTTTGCTTTGCAGATCAATCGCGAGGGACAGAAAGGCACAGTGAGCTCCTGTCTCTGCAGGAGCTGATGATCCAGCACATGCATTATTCTGTTCATTTGCCTTTTATCCTGCTCCCTTATTTAGCTTCTGCTCCCTTTGTTTGGCTATTTATTGCTACTCGGCAGGAGCAAGGAGGGCAGAGGGAGCTCAAATGGGTGCATCCTCCAGGCTGGTGCCTCTGGCAAAGGGCACGGAGGAGAAAGAGGTTTCAATGTCTGGCTTGAAAGTATCTGTGGGTTTCACATTCTCTAACAAGGGATTTAGGATGTACATTCCGATCGGGATTTCCAGTCCCGTGGGGAGCAAATATCAGCTCACATTCCTGAGACGCGCAGGCTCCATGCTCCACGGCATAGCTCTTTGGTGGCAGGTTTCACTCAGTGCCACATGTGGTGCCTCAGCCCTTGGGCTGGAGGGAAGACCCTGGGCTTCTCTTCCATCTGGATCACGTGGTCTCTCCCGTCCCTCCCCTCTCTTTCTCTGGAAACCGCCTTTTTCTGATGGTGGTAGTGATTGTTCCTACAGTCTCTCCTTCTTTCCTCCTGCCCTGGCCTCTCTGCCAGAGGTCAGTGTCCTCTTCAGTGACAAAAGCCGCCCTAGATCTGGGCTCCCTGGAGAGGGAGGTGGCTGGGTCTGGCAGTTACAGCCGCTGTCTCTCCATGGTGCTGCTACACCCCTCCCCCGCTGGGCACACAAATGGGCTTTATCCAGCAAACAACACCCCCCTTCCCGGGCCACACAGGCACGTGGACCCAGGCCTCACCGTGGGAAGGGGGTGGTGACAGGCACAGAAGAGATTGCTCCAGATGAGTTCTCCTGGCCTCACTTCTCTTCCTTAGAACTCAGGACACAACTCAGGTTTTAGTTCTTGACTTCCTCCACCCCTCACCTGCACCCTGAATCCCCAATTCCTTCTTGTTACATATCTTCTAATTCTGGACTCTTCCCATTCCAGAGCAGCTCAGATTCTGCAGGGAATTGGGAACAGGTACCCCCGCCATCTGCTCCATGCCACCCAGGGAGCTGCTCTGCAGAGGAGAAGCCAGGTGGGGGGGGATGAAAACCGAGTGCCCTCTTGAGGAGGCTGAGTTGAACCCCAAATCCCCTTCCTTGCCCCCGCCAGCTTCCAGGAAACACCCATATAAGCAGCATCTGTGTGATTAGCAGAGGAAGGAATAGCTTACCCCAGCTGGACTCCTGAGCCAGGGCCAGCGCTCCGGTGAAACTTGCCACGATGCAGCTCCGAGTGGGGCCATCCTGCATGCCTAATTGGCTATTTAAGGAGCTGCTCGCCTGCAGCCCAGGCAGCCCCCCCTCCCCACATACACCCGTCCAGAGCCACCTTAAAAGCAGGAGGCAGTTGTAAAGTCGCCGGCCAGCTAGTGGAGTGGAGACTGCAGAGGGAGATAAAGAGAGAGGGCAGAGAAAGAGGCAGCAAGAGATTTGTCCTGTGGACCCAGAAACCCATGGTACCCTACTAAACCCCAAATTCTCTGGAAGCCCACAAAGACACAGAAACAGCAGGACAAGCAGCGATACACTCCACGCCAGGAATTCTCCTCTCTCTCTCTCTCTCTCTCCCTCTCTCCCCCACCCCAGCCTGTCCTAGTCCTCTAGTCCTCAAATTCCCAGTCCCCTGCGCCCCTTCCTGGGACACTATGTTGTTCTCCGCCGTCCTGCTTGAGGTGATTTGGATCCTGGCTGCATACGGGGGTAGGTACAACTAAATGTTTGTGTGTTGATTTGTGCTGATGTTCACATGTCGCCAGGTGTGCTTAACCGGGGGAGGAAAGGTGTAAAAGGAAGCCTAGAGGCTGGAATAATAGGCTCAGAGAGGAGGGAAAAAGAGAGCAGAGTGTAGAGACCACTTCCCTTCTTTATCTTTTGCCTTTCCAGCCTTGCTGCTATTGGAGGTGGGAGAGAACGAGCGGGGGGCTGGGTGTGTACACAGGCAAGTGCTGGAATCTCTTTGCAGGCTACAGATTTTCTCCAGAGCTCTTTCTCCCACTGACCTGGTCCCAGTCGGCACTCCTGGACTTCTTTATTTACAAACTCCTCCAGTTAGGGAGTCAGAGAGGCCTGGCATGAAAAGGTAGATAGCTGGGGGTAGGGGGAAGAATACCTCTGCCCAACTCAGACCCTGATCTCCAATTCATCCCTTCTTGGCCAAGGTTCCTTCTTCATTCTGTGGAGCGACTTAACTCCCTGGTATCCCCTGAAAGCAGCGGTATAAGAGTGAACATTTGTTTGACGCTTTACCGTTTACAGAGGACTTTCAGGAGCTCCCAGGAGATGGGGAACGATTTTTGGGAGAACAGGCTGAAGTGCTCAGGAGCGTCCCCTGGAACCACAGACCCCACTTCTGTGTTTCCCATGCCTAGCACAGTATCCAGCACATATTAGATGCGTAACTGACATTTGTGGAAAGAGCAGGGGGGGGGGGGGGTGTCCAGAGAGTAGACGACAAATGCAGAGAGGACGGGGGCAGGCGGGCAGCCAAATGGAGAGTCACAAATCTCATCTGAGGAGAAAGAAAAACACAGGGAAAGAGGAGGAAGAGCCATAGAATAAGTGTGCTGAGGCTCTGACCAGAAGAGACAGGCACCTTCACAGACCAGGGAGATCGAGGTGTTGGGGGGTCCCACAGAGATGGTACCTGAGAGGCTCCCTCCAGCTCTCCCTTGGGCCAGCAGAATAGGTCAAGGGTAAGAGCAGGGCATCTCACAAGTTTGAGGAAGTAAAGGGACTAAGAGAGAGAGAGAGGAAGGAATTTAGGATTTTTCTCCAGCGTTTCTAGGAGTATGGATATGGCAGCATAACCCTGCAGGAAGGCCTTCCTTTTCTGCTTGAGGCAGTGTGGCCCTGGGGAGGCGCTGGACCTGCAGACCCCCTGGCCTGAGTCAGACAGGACTGCACGAGAGCCTGACATGTGACCCAGCTGGCAGCTCTCTTCTCTACACACAATGCTTCACTTTCATCCTGTCCCTGCCAGCCTGGCTGCCTGTGCCCACCCACCACCCTCAATCTGGAGTAGACCCTGCCCTAACTCCCACCCTCCCCTAACCATCTCGGAATGTGGGGAGCAGAGCTTCCTGGTGATGAGGAGCTACTGGGACCAGAAAGGAAGAATTTACTTATGATTGTACAGCTCAGTGCCTTTATTCATGCAATTTCTCAAAGCAAAGGAATAATCCCCCCTTCCCCCTCCGAAGCACCCCCCCCCCACACACACACACACACACACACACACACACACTCTGAAGTCCTTTCTCCTTCCCTCTTTCTAGTCTCTATCCTTCAAACCCTCTGCCCACACCCTCACCCCGCCCACCCCAATCTTCCAAGTGTTGGATTGACTTGGCACAGGTTAGAGAAAAGTAAGGGTTGGGCCAATCGCACATTTGGATCCAGGTTAATTTTAGTCCCTGGGCTTTACCTCTTTTCATTCCTCCTCCCCCTTTACTCAGCAGGCACCAGCAGAGCCTGGCTGGTGAATTTAAATAGACCCCCGACCTTTCCACAGAGGTGTCCAGTTTCAGGGCTTCCTTTGGAAAGTGCTGGAGCAGAGGGAGGAGGGGCAGCAGAGAGGGAGGTGGAGCAGTACAGAATGCTAGAGGGAGGGGAGTGTGGAGGCCAGGGCTCTGCCCCAGGCTGCACTGGCTGTAACCCAAATCCTCTGCCTTGCAGGTCAACACTGGACACATGAGGGTGAGAGCAGATCTCGAGGCCTCCTGACTCCCCTTTCACACTGGAACCTCCTCACCTGGCAGGAAGACATGCTGTGCGGGTGGGGAGGAGTCTTCCTTTAGCTTCTCACCCTATCTCCTCCATTCTGGATCTCCCACTGCGTTGAGTTTCACGTATTTGGCTCCCAGATCCTGCTCTAATCATCAAATCCTACACCTCCTGATTTGGCAGAAAAGCTAGTTAAGTCCTCAGTAAATCATGTAGGAGTGAGGGAGCTGGGGTGGAAAGGAAGCTGGGTGGGGGGGAAAAGCTTAGCTGCCAGGTCTCCTTCTGGCTCTCTCTACCCTAATCCATCATACCCCTAACCTGCATCTGAAATTGGGACAGAGCTGGAGGTCAGGGGTGACGAAGAGGATGGCGGGATAGTTTGTGACACTGGGGAGGTGGAGTTCAATTCCTATGAACTACTGATTAATGACATAACTGAACTCCAGAGTCCGTGTGTGACAACAAGAAGTGAATGATGAAAAGTCAGGATATCTGAAACCCAAGGCCTCCAGCAGGATTTTTTTGTTTGTTTTTTTTTTTTGGAGACAGAGTCTCTCGCTGTCGCCCAGGCTGGAGTGCAGTGGTGCAATTTCGGCTCGGTGCAAACTCCATCTCCCAGGTTTAAGTGATTCTCCTGCCTCAGCCTCTCCAGTAGCTGGGATTACAGGTGCTCACCACCACATCTGGCTAATTTTTGTATTTTTAGTAGAGATGGGTTTTGACCATGTTGGCCAGGCTGGTCTCGAACTCCTGACCTCAAGAGATCCACCTGCTTCAGCCTCCCCAAGTGCTGCTATTATAGGTGTGAGCCACTGTGCCTGGCCTCTCTAGGATCATTTTATTTCTCCCGTTTTTCTACTCCTACTCTTTAATCCCATCTCTTAGGGTATTCAGGTTTTCTATGCATCTCCTCTGTCCTCATTCAGCTTTCTTGTCCTCAAAATATAGGTAAGTAAAAGAGCTACCATTCCCCATTCATCAGGATAGTCGGAGAATCATCGCTGCCTCTGGGTAGAGAAGGGGAACCGGAGCTTGATACTCAACAGGATTCCTACCTCACCCATCCCTGTACAACGGGGGTCTTAACCTGGGTGGAGGGAAGTCCATTTCTACCTCCACCCAGATGTATGGCTTGGTTAGGGGACAGGGTCAAAGGGATGGGGGCGGTGTTGAAGGGTGCCTAGAGCTGGAGGACAGGACCAATGTCTTTGGTAACCCCCCAGGCCCACATGGTCAGGACCACTGGCCAGCCTCTTACCCTGAGTGTGGAAACAATGCCCAGTCGCCCATCGATATCCAGACCGACAGGGTGACATTTGACCCTGAGTTGCCTGTCCTGCAGCCCCAAGGATATGACCAGCCTGGCACCGAGCCTTTGGACCTGCACAATAATGGCCACACAGGTAAAAGCACGGGCTCCAAGAAGTTGTAGGCTCCAGCTCAGCTCTTAGGAGTCAGATCCTTTTGTAGTGCATGAGTGTGACGATGGGGTGTTCATGAGCATGCGCAAAATGTGCCACCCTCCATCCTGGTTACGATGTCAGCACATTACCCATCTGCTATGAATAAATAACCTCAGGAGTCAGGGGAAAGCAGCATTCTCCTAACCTGCGAATTCTCAAAAAGCTTTGTCCATGAATTTGGAAATATGAGAATGGGGATCAGCCTCCTGTAGCCAAGGCAGAAATCAAAATGTTTCTAGTCAAGCTCGATAGGTAGGTTAGTCTCATTGCGCTGATTTGATCTTCACTGAGAAAAAGGAAGATATGCTAGAAGAGCTCTGGCCTCGGGAGGAACTGGGTGCTACTTGGAGAGGAAACTGGAAGAGAGCCAAGTCTCAAGAGGTGGTGGCAACTCAGGTGTGGGACTGTATCTGCATTCCTCCACCAATCCTAGCTTGCTCTTTTCTCCACAGTGCAACTGTCTCTGCCCTCTACCCTGTATCTGGGTGGACTTCCTCGAAAATATGTAGCTGCCCAACTCCACCTGCACTGGGGTCAGAAAGGATCCCCAGGGGGGTCAGAACATCAGATCAATGGTGAAGCCACAGTTGCCGAGGTACCAGGGAACAAAGAGCTGGGATTCGGGCAAAGTAACAGGGATGGTTGGTCCTGAGAAAAGGATCCGGACCTTGGGAAAAGTCATGCTGGAGGGATAAGGCCAACCTTTGAGACAGACTTAGTGCCTGCCGGGGACAGCAGGGGGATGGTGGTGGCCAGGATCAAGGCCTTGAAGGGGGTGGGGACATCCCATAATTCAATTCCCTCTTCCTTCCTTCAGCTCCACATTGTACATTATGACTCTGATTCCTATGATAGCTTGAGTGAGGCTGCTCAGAGGCCTCAGGGCTTGGCTGTCTTGGGCATCCTAATCGAGGTCAGTAGCTCCCAGTCCCTTCCAGGTTTCTCTCCACCTCCTCTGCAACCATCACACCTATTTGCTTCCCTCCTGTGGCAGACAGCAGCCCATCCTGACCATTTATTCTCTACATAAATTTTTTATTCCAAACATGGAGTTATTCCAAATTCTCTCTCTTTCCTCCCCTTCCAGGTGGGTGAGACTAAGAATATAGCTTATGAACACATTCTGAGTCACTTGCATGAAATCAGGCATAAAGGTGAGCCTTAAAAATCTATAGCAGGAAGTGAGATTAGACTTTCAAAAAACTTTCAAAAACTGTTAGTCTTGGGATGAGGCAATTACTTAGAGCCAAGGAATTTTGCTTCTGGGAGCCCTATCTAGGTAAGCCAGGGCACACTGAAAGGAAGATGAGTCCTAGTCTGTTCTCCCCAGATCAGAAGACCTCAGTGCCTCCCTTCAACCTGAGAGAGCTGCTCCCCGCACAGCTGGGGCAGTACTTCCGCTACAATGGCTCGCTCACAACTCCCCCTTGCTACCAGAGTGTGCTCTGGACGGTGTTCTATAGAAGGTCCCAGATTTCAACGGAACAGGTAAGTGGCGGAGAAATGAGATGAGGGGAGAGATACACAATTCTATCTTCAGACCCCTTCCCACTCCCCAGTGACACCTCTCCCACGCTTCTGCTCCTCAGCTGGAAAAGCTTCAGGGGACATTGTTCTCCACAGAAGAGGAGCCCTCTGAGCTTCTGGTACAGAACTACCGAGCCCCTCAGCCTCTCAATCAGCGAATGGTCTTTGCTTCTTTCATCCAAGGTGATTCTGCATAACTCAGAAGAGACGGGAAACTGAGGGACAGAAATGGCAGGAACTAGGGAGCCTGTGGGAAGAAAAGGCTAAAAGGGGAAGGGGTTTCCAGGACTAGCTTGGACTGGGAACCAACCCCCACCCTAGGGTGCACGGGTGATTCTCCCAGGCACAGCAGAGTGCTGCTCCCAGCTGGGATGGGGATCTGAAGTCCCACTGACCCCTTTTCTTCTCTTACAGAGGGACCCTTGTATACCACAGGTAAGACAGCCTTATAAGGTATTGGGGGGAGGGGAGGCATCCTCAGCAAGTAGGGGAAAGGCTGAAAATCTGTTAGTCCTAGGCTGACACCTTTTACCTTTATCTCCCCCAGGTGAAATGCTGAGTCTAGGTGTAGGAATCTTGGTTGGCTGTCTCTGCCTTCTGCTGGCTGCTTATTTCATTGCTAGAAAGATTCGGTGAGGTCCTGCTTTCCATTCCTCCAGTCCTTTCTTTTTTCTTTCTTTTTTTTGAGAGGGAGTCTTGCTCTGTTACCCAGTCTGGAGTACAGTGGTGCGCAATCTCAGCTCACTACAACCTCTACCTCCGGGTTCAAGTGATTCTCCTGCCTCAGCCTCCCAAGTAGCTGGGACTACAGGCACGCACCACCACACCCAGCTAATTTTTGTATATTTAGTAGAGACAAAGTTTCACCATGTTGGCCAGCGGTCTCAAACTCCTGACCCCAGGTGATCCGCCTGCCTCAGCCTCCCAAAGTACTGGGATTACAGGTGTGAGCCACCACACCTGGCCTTTTTTTTTTTTTTTTTTGAGACAGGTTCTCACTGTTGTCCAAGCTGGGGTACAGTGGCTTTATCACAGCTCACTGCAACCTCCACCTCCTGGGTTCAAGTGGTCCTTCTACCTCAGCCTCCTGAACGGCTGGGACTGCAGGTGTGTGCTACCATGCATGGCTACTTTTTATATTTTTAGTAGAGATGGGTTTTCACTATGTTGCCCAGGCTGGTCTCCAACTCCTGACCTCAAGTGATCCACCTGCCTCAGCCTCCCAAAGTGCTGGGATTACAGGCGAGAACCACCTTGCCCAGCCTTCTTTTCTATGAAAAAGCACTCTCCTATTCCACCTCTAATCTGCTTCACTTGGATAGTAGTCATTCTCATGAGCCATTCCCCTTTCCAGGAAGAAGAGGCTGGAAAATAGAAAGAGTGTGGTCTTCACCTCAGCACGAGCCACCACTGAGGCATAAATTCCCTCTCAGATACCGTGGATGTGGATGACTGCCCCTGTGACTGTCAGGAAGCCTCTAAAATGGGGTATAGGGTCTGGACAGAAATACTGTAGGAGTAGTAGGCAGACGTCCTCCTTCCCCTGGACATCCCCTACAGAGAGGAATGGACCCAGGCTGTCATTCGAGTTAAAACTGCAGAGCCTTCAGTCTCTCCAAACACGTGGGAGGAAATGAGGAGATCCGTGTTGTTCAAGCAGAGAACAAACTCTGTTTAGTTGCAGGGGAAGTTTGGGATGTACCCCAAAGTCCTCTACCCCCTCACCTTTATGGCCCTTTCCCTAGATACACTGCAGAATCTCTCCTTAGGATAAAGAGTTGCTGTTGAAGTTGTATATTTTTGATCCATATATTTGGAAATTAAAGTTTCTGACTTTAATTCTGGTCTGTTCTTTGAGGCTCTTGAGGGTGGACAGGTTCCTTAACTCCTCAGGTGGTAAAGATAGGCAAAGGACGGGGAAAAGCAGCATGGGTGATTAGCTCATTTTATACCACCCCTAAAAAGAAAGATTAGCTTCTGGGAAAACACTTAACCCAAAGTTTCAGACATGTGAAACCTCTAGCCCAGATTTCTGCCCTTGCACCAAGGCTATGCTTGGAGATCAGTGGTTGCCAGTTTAGGAAAGCGGCTGGACAACAGACACGAGAGGGCAGAAATCTCAAGTATCATGCTATCCCCTCCCTTTAAAGCCAATTTCCCCCACAATTACAAAGTCTTTTTTATTAGTCAAAATCACAATCACCTTGATTAAAAGGATGAGACACCCCACCCTCAGCAGAAAATGATACAGTTTATAGAAAACCTCCCCACCCCTCCCACATCCCAATTAAAAACTACAAAAAAATCTGCCCTCCTTCCCTACGATGTCATGGTAGTCTGACTCCTCCAGCGGCACTGCAGCTCTGGAGGGCCAGCTCACCCTAGCACCCTCCACTTCACCTTGGGGAGAGGAGGGATGCTGGTGTTTAAGGGTTAAAACCATTAGTTCCAGTATTGCCAGTTCCCAAACATGCACTTCTTTCCTTTCCCCTAAGGTCTGGGACCAGGGAGAAAGGGACAGAAATGAGCCCAGCCATGAGGAGCAATTTGAGAGAAAATACAGCCCAAGGAGGTTAGAAGAGTTCCAACATACCTCCTCCCTCCCCCCACCTCAAAAAAGAAGAAAAGGCAGATTAGGGTCTTTATCACACCAAAAATCGTTCCCCTCAGGCCTGAGAAAAAGATGTCCAGTCTGGGGAGAGGGTACTGAGAAACTCAGAGCTCATCTACCCTTGAGCCTCCATTAATTTCATCTCCAGGGCAATGGCTAACCTAGATCCCTTTTCTTGGCAACCTGCACTGTCCAGAACTGGAGATGGAGAAATACAGGGCGAGGACATCAGGAGGGCACCCCAGGCCCAGGGGTCCCCCCTAGGTTCCCTCAGTCCTCGGGTGGGATGCGCAGGGCAGAATACACCATCACCCGACTGTCCTCCTGCCGTCGGCCTGCAGAGGGGAAGGGAGGTGAGTCTTGGGCAGGGTGAGAGCAGAGCACTGACACAGGGGGAGTCCTGGACAACAAGGGGGTCCCCAGATGGTGGGGAATAGTACAGATTCAAACCCACCAGTCACTGACTGGCTGAACCCAGGCTGCTCCTGGTGAAGCTTGGAGACTAACGGTCACAAAAGGACAAAGCAAAACCCTGGAGGTGGTAGGGTAGACCGACGACAAGGACACGGAGAATGTGGGCAATGGACCCGGGCTGGGGCTGGGCTCAGTCATGGGCAGTGGACAGGCAGGTGGGATCTGTCAGGCGATCAGTCCAGGTAGTCAGTCCTTACACAAGAGGCTGCGCTGAATACTTCGGAGGGACCCTCCGGCTGTGATGAAGGCCCAGAGCCCCATGGAAACAGTGACTGCATAGATGGGCAGCAGGCTGGCCTCATACCATGGGTTCAGGAATGTCTAGGAAGGAGGGTAAATGTAGGAAACAGATTAGATTCTCCCCCAACCTAATGCCCACATTCTCTCTGCACGTTTGACTCCCAGATCTCTCTCTCAAATTCCCGTCTTTCCCTTCAGAGCCCCAACATCTTGTGGTTAAAGAGACTTTTAATTTTCAGCTCCTTCAAAGGTTTCTACCGCTCCTGCTCACCTCGGGCCCTCTGCATTACAGTTTGACTAATCCATTCAATCTTCTCCCCAGAGCAGGTGATAGAATTGATGCTGAGGTGAGAGACCTCGAAAGACTCACCTTTCCGCCTCCTCCCAAGGTTAAGTTCAAAATGTTAAGAAGTGAGGATATCCTTTCCCCCACATCCCACTCACCATTAAATGCTTTTCTCCCTAACTCAGGCCCCTGTCTCCAACTCACCAGTCCCGATGTCAGTAGGTGACTCCCAACCACCAGGCCCAAAGCCCAGTACCGTCTCCTCTCACAGGCATCAAAGAACACAACTCCCCAAAAGGTATGGAGCAGGATAATGGCTGCTGTCAGAAAGGCTGCAGGGAGGGAGATGGGGAGGAGATACATCCCTGATCTTCTCCTAGCCTCCTGAGATGTTGAGCCAAAGAAGTCTCCCAGGGAAGGCCAATAAATCAGATCAGGGACAAGGATGGATGGGGCGTGAAGGCTATATAGGAGGTGGATCTTACCTGAAGTCAGGAAGTAATAGGGTGAGTCTCCATGGATCCCAACCACACCTGGCCCAAGTGCATCAGCCAAAATATTGATAACAGAGAAGACACCACTGATGATACCGAAGGAGAGACCAGAAACTGGGGGAAGGGAGGATCTCATCAATGTCAGAGATCACACTGTTGCCCGTTCACCACTGACCCCTCCCCATGCCCGGTTACAATTCTTTCACACCTACTCTCCCTCCAGACCACCTTTCTTTGGAAGTGACAGATGAAGGAAAATATGAAGCCACTTAGAACATGTGGATATTTAGAGACTTCCCTAGAGGAGGGGGCTGTCCAACTCCCTCCTCCAGTCCCTCTCCCTTGGCTCACCATAGGCCATCTGGCGGATGGAGATGGGTGATCTTCCGTCCTCACTCAGCGATGCTAACCCCTCATCTGCCTTCCTGGGGTGGGGTGGGGTAGGGGAAACATGAGGGAAGGCAGGGATGCTCCTTTCCCTCTAATGTACTCCCTTAGTGCCTCCTCTTCCAAACCACCACCCAGGGGCTGCCCCACTTCCCACAGTGCAGTCCTCTGCCCCTCTCCCCTCCAGACCACTCCATCTTCTTACTTAAGCAGCTTGTAGTAGGCAAAGCGGAACACCTCCTGTAGAAGGACAGAGACAGCAGCACCAAAAATCAGGAGGCCGTACTGGAGCCGGGCATCTGACCGGTCGGTCACATGGACCAAGATGAACCAGACCACAGAGGCCAGGAGCAGGGAGACCAGCCAGAAAAATGCCCTGAGAAAAAACAAGGGCAGTGAGATAGTGGTAGGGGCAGCCAGAGAAATCAGGGAGGGAAAGCGGCCAAAGGTGCATGAAAGGTGGAAGTTAGCCTTCCGGATGGTTAGGGAGACAGGGACCAGGTAGGGTAATTGTCTCCACCAAGGGACTCATCTGTAGAAACGTGAACGGAGGGGAAAGGGGAGAAATCTGATTAAAAAGTCTTCAGAGCGATAAGAGCCAGAGTGTGCGAGCACGGAAGGGCGAGGTATCCATTCCTGGATCCTCCCCTAGGGCACCTGACTCGGCCAGCCTAGGTCAGCACAGCCCCCTCACGAGTCTCGGCCTTGGGCCTTCTCTGACGTCGCTGGGAGGAATATAGAAGGAATCTGTGAGATCCTTGGACGGTGGAAATCAACTGCGGGAAAGGGCAAATCTCCCAGATCCACCCCCCACCCCGCCCAAACTTCACCGCCGACTTATCGCCCCCAATTCAGGCTCCCAGGCTCGCCCCAGTTCCTCCAGCCCCTTCCGCACCTCTCTCTTCGGAGCTCTCCCGCGTCTCTCCGACCCCCTACTCACCCTGCGACCAGGATGATAACGCGAAGCGGGTCTCCAGCCACAGTGATCAAGAAAAGCGCGAAGGCAGGGCCGAACGCGACGAAAGTGCAGCCGAAAAACACCGCAGCCCCCATGGCTGGGCAGGTGGGACGGTGGGGGCCTGACCGGGACAGCCGAATGGGAGGGGCGCGCCGGCTGGGGAGTCCGCGTGGGGTGGCAACGCGACCCCACGAGGGGCGCGGTGCAATGTCACCCCCGGACCCCGGGGAAGGGGCGGGGGGGGGGAGCACCGAAACCCCAGATGAAGGTCCGCGCGACTTCCTCTACGGAAGCCGAAGAGGGAACAAATCCCCGCCGCAGCCCCACGGCCACCTCCCATCTAATCCCCACCCCCGGAACGCCAATGGAGAATCAGCGCGGGCGGAGCCGTGGGGGCGGGGCTGCTCGACCTGCTGGGAGTTGTAGTCACCTTCTGAGGCCTTGACTTCGTCCCGGGAGTGGCTGGAGCTAAAGTGGGTGGGCCGAGGATGTCGAGACACCGATTCCTGGATTCAGTTGCGCCTCCGTCGCGGTTTCCTTTCGTCACGTTGTGGGGAAATGTAGCAATCCTAGCTCTTCTTTTGCTTTGTTTTGTTTTATTGCATTTTAGGTTTTGGGGTACATGTGAAGAACATGCAAGATTGTTGCATAGGTACACACATGGCAGCGTGATTTGCTGACTTCCTCCCCTTCACCTATATCTGGCATTCCTCCCCATGCTATCTCTCCCCAACTCCTCAACCCCCGCTGTCCCTCCCCTATTTCCCCCCAACAGACCCCAGTGTGTGATGCTCCCCTCCCTGGTCCATGTGTTCTCATTGTTCAACACCCACCTATGAGTGAGAACATGCGATGTTTGATTTTCTGTTCTTGTGTCAGTTTGCTGAGAATGATGGTTTCCAGGTTCATCCATGTCCCTACAAAGGACACAAACTCATCGTTTTTGATGGCTGCATAATATTCCATGGTGTATATGTGCCACATTTTCCCTGTCTGGTCTATCATCGATGGGCATTTGGGTTGGTTCCAGGTCTTTGCTATTGTAAACAGTGCTGCAATGAACATTCGTGTGCATGTGTCCTTATAGTAGAACGATTTATAATCCTTTGGATATATACTCAGTAACGGGATTGCTGGGTCAAATGGAATTTCTATTTCTAGGTCCTTGAGAAATCGCCACACTGTCTTCCACAATGGTTGAACTAATTTACACTCCCATTCTTTTTTTTTTAAAGATGGGGTTTCACCATGTAGGTCAGGCTGGTCTCGAACTTCTGACCTCAGGTGATCCGCCTGCCTCAGCCTCCCAAAGTGCTGGGATTACAGGCGTGAACTACCGCACCCGGCAATCCTAGCTCTTCTTGAAGGGCTGCAGAGGAGGTAGGTTCTGTTTGAATCTAAGGGACAAGTACAAAGAGAGCACAGGATGGGGCGCAGGGAGATAGGGACGGGTATTGTTCTTACTTGAATGAGAGGAAATGGGCTACAGCTGCTGCCTAAGGGATGATTATATTAAAAAGTAGGAGCTCTTTGGACAAACATGGAATACAGTGTATCAATGATGAATCCTTCATCTGTAACGCAAGAGAATCAGAGAGAAGCAAAAGGGGCCTGGAGAGAAGTGTTAGGAAGGCATTTTGAAAGAGTTCGGGAGTTTAAAAGCCATTAGAGCAATGGGGTTGAAGGAAAACGACACCCCCACCCGCCCCAAGTTCCTTTTATGTCATACTTCCTCTATTTATTTTCTGAAAAATGAACCTCAGTGATGCATTTTCCTCAGGCTGGGGAGAGGGGTTGTATATTAGAGTGAATTAAAGTTGGCCGGGTGCGGTGGCTCACCCCTGTAATCTCAGCACTTTCGGAGGCCAAGGCAGGCAATCACTTAGGGTTAGGAGTTTCAGACCAGCCTGGCCAACATGGTGAAACCCCATCTCTGCTAAAAATACAAAAATTAGCTGGGTGTGATGGCACCCACCTGTAATTCCAGGCGGCTGAGGGGTGAGAATAGCTTTTTTTTTTTTTTTTTTTGAGACGGAGTTTCGCTCTTGTTACCCAGGCTGGAGTGCAATGGCGCGATCTCGGCTCACCGCAACCTCCGCCTCCTGAGTTCAGGCAATTCTCCTGCCTCAGCCTCCTGAGTAGCTGGGACTACAGGCACGCGCCACCATGCCCAGCTAATTTTTTGTAGTTTTAGTAGAGACGGGGTTTCACCATGTTGACCAGGATGGTCTCGATCTCTTGACCTCGTGATCCACCCGCCTCGGCCTCCCAAAGTGCTGGGATTACAGGCTTGAGCCACCGCGCCCAGCCTATTTTTTATTTTTAAAAGATGGGATTTCACCATGTTGGTCAGGCTGCTCTTAAACTCCCCACCTCAGGTGATCCGCCCGCCTTGGCCTCCAAAGCGCTTGGATTACAGGTGTGAGCCACCATGCCTGGCCCGGCATTTACTCTTTAAACACTTGTGCTGGTGTTATGTTATTTTCCTTCTGAGAAATTGGAAACCCTTTGTTGCTATTATATTAATAAAGTTGGTGTTTATTTTCTGGTAAAAACAAAACAAACAAACTCTTCTCCTGTAGGACGGAATGAAAGGAATACACCAAGTGACAGAATGTGGGAAGGAGGGTGTGGCAATTGTAGCAGGGAAAGAGACTATCTGCTTTCTCCCTTCTTCCATCCTGCATCCTGGAAGTTGAGAAAGAGGTGAGGTGAGGTCAGTATTACCAGAGAGGAAATAACTGACCGTGGCTGAGAGACTTTTATCTGCAGCCACGCAGCAGGTGCTTTAAGTCAGACAATGATGCGTAAATATTGTTCCTGTACTCCATAGCTCGAAACAGACAGAAGAAACGGACTCTTTCCAGTCTAGAAAAATGCTCACCCCTTCCTCAGAACATTTCCACTGTCATGAAAAGAGACTGTGAGGAAGCCTCAGAGAGAAAGGCAACTCTAGGTGGTGGTGGTAAGTCAGGGACAGTGAGAGGGAGGGTGAGCTTTTTATGAGGCCTTGGAGGAAGGAAGGAAAAGGGGGAGAGGGGAAACTCCTCGGTAGGCTTGTTTTTTATTTTTCTTAGTAGTGGCAGTGGGAGTCCTGAGTGGATCTAATCTAGGGCAGGGGGAGCTCAATAAACATGTTTGCATCAAAACCCACTTTTGCCTGTCAATCTGGGCGCTCTGGCTGGGGACCAGCAGTAACTGGAGATGCAGTCAGCCAGCCAGTAGGCGGGGAGTTCTGCCCCCTGGGAGGAGAAGAGTCGCTTCAGCCTCGGAGGAGGAGGGGGGAGGCGGGGTAAGTTTGGTGGGAAACTCTGTAATTTCCTTTTTTACTTTCACAGCAATAGTTCAGAATCCAGAATGGATGTCCTCTTTGTAGCCATCCTTGCTGTGCCACTTATCCTGGGTAAGTCCACTTCTCTCTCTGAGCTTTTGTGCCAGGTCCTCTACCATAAATGGGGTGGGAGAAAAAAAAAATGAGCTGTGGGTGAGAGATGCATTTCAATGGGGAGTGATAGAGTTTTCTCATTGTGCTAAGGTCCGGTGTGGAGGGCAGAATGGAGATCTGGAAGGCAGAGCCAGGAAAGGGGCAGGAGAGCAGAGTCCCATCACAGAAGGAGGATGGAGCTCCAGACACAAGCAGGCCCTAGCAACACTGAACTCAGTTCTCCATCACCACGGAAGTTGAACAAGATGAGAGGGGCTGAAGCAAGGGTGAAGGAGAGATTCCTAGAAGGTGTCACAGCCTGAAACTAATAGCTAGGGAACCTCCTTTCCGAGAGAATTGTAGAAAAAACCTGCTGTTAGTAAAGACACACAAGTGGGTGACCTTTAGGAGAGTGGAAAACTGGCTGTCTTCAGGGACAGGGTCCCAAGAGTAGCTTGGCTCCTTCCCTCCTTTGTTCCCTGTCTGCCAGGTGTGTCTCACTGTTTCCTTTTCCTCTAGATTCCTGTGTCATTAGCTTGGAGTTGAAGGGAAAGCATTCAGGGAGCTCAGGGAAGTGTTTAGCAGGAGGCCTGGAGTTCTTGATCCAGTCATATCAAAGCCACATATTTTTAGTTCTGGAAGGGAAGAAAAACTAACGGAGATGGGTCATTTAGTCCAGCTGACTCATTTTAAGAAAGCGGATATTAAGTAGATTGTTCAGGGTTATTCTGTTAGCAGTGTTGCTGGAACCAAATCTCAAATCCAAAGCCTAAGGGTGTGTGTTAGTTATTTGCAAGAGACACTGTTAAGAAACGACCTCTCACAAATGCAATAAGATCTGGAGCATATTAAATAGAAGATTTGGTGTGTCTGATTCCTGGTCTCTACTCTTCCCGCCTTCTTTAGGTTTGGTTCTCCCTTTGGGTGTATAGTGTGTGAAGGGGACTGTTTTCTGTTTTAGGAGTTTCTGGATTGAAAGGGCATAGAGTAACAGGCCTCATTACAGATATGGAGCCCAGAAGACTGAGAGGGGCGCAGAGGTGCACAGGCAGGCAGGGAGTCTGACCACTGGAGGGGAGGCAGAAAGAAAGCAAGAAAGCTGGGAGAACTGAGGTCAACTCCAGGTGTCCTTCTGTGGGTAAGGTGTTCCAGATGTCCCTTGACCTGTAGTCCTTGTCCCCATAGGACAAGAATATGATGAAGAAAGACTGGAAGAGGATGAATATTATCAGGTGGCCTATTATTTTACAGTCACCCCCATTTATGGTGAGTCCATGAAAGACTCTTCCCCTTAGCTGACTAGAGAAAGGCTTCAGAATATTTAGTTCTGAGACTGCTCTTCACTTTGCAGCAGAGCTACGGGGTCAGAGAGAAATCTGGCTATGAACAAAACCTATGAAAATTCACGATGGCCTGGGCACGGTGACTCACACCTGTAATCCCAGCATTTGAGAGGCTGAGGCAGGTGGATCACCTGAGGTTTGAGACCTGCCTGGCCAACATTTAGTAGACACAATTTTTGTATCTACTAAAGATACAAAAATTAGCTGGGCGTGGTGGTGCCTGCCTGTAGTCCCAGCTATTCAGGAGGCTGAGGTGGGAGAATTACCTGAACTGGGGAGGAGAAAGTTGTGGTGAGCCAAGATCACGCCAATGCGCTCCACCCTGGGCGACAGAGTGAGACTCCATCTAAAAAAGAAAAAAAAAAGGACTCATTTTGTTATTTATCCAGATAGTGATTTTTAGATAGGAGGATTGCTTGAGCCCAGGAGTTCAAGACTAGCCTGGGTATCAAGTAGAGATATCATACCCTGTCTTTACAGAAAAAAAAAAAAAATTAATTAGCTGGGCATGGTGGCCCATGGATGTAGTCCCAGGAGGCTGAGGCAGGAGGATCACTTGAGCTTAGGAGTTGGAGGTGGCAGTAAGCTATGATTGAGCCAACTGTACTGGTAATAGAGTGAGACCTTGATTCTCAGGGGTCTGAAAAATTTTCAAATTTCAAGTTATTTTAGATATACTTAGATTCAAAATATAAATGCATACATATTCACAACTGTCTTTAACATTACAGCTAAATAAAATTGGATTATACCAATCAGATTTACAACTTGAGTAAGTTAAACTATTCTGAGCAATTTCTTCCCTTTTCTTTTTTTTTTTTTTTTTTGAGAGTGAGTTTCACCCGTTACCCAGGCTGGTGTGCAATGGCTCGATCTTGGCTCACCGCAACCTCCGCCTCCTCCTGCCTCAGCCTCCCGAGTAGCTGGGACTACAGGCCTGCACTGCCACACCCAGCTAATTTTTGTATTTTTAGTAGAGACGGGGTTTCACCGTGTTGACCAGGATGGTCTCGATCTCTTGACCTCGTGATCTACCCGCCTCAGCCTCCCAAAGTGCTGGGATTATAGGTGTGAGCCACCGCGCCCAGCCTTATTCCCTTTTCTTTTCCAGATCTAGAGTTACCTTTTTCTTTTATGACTGCTGATTTTCTTTCTCCTCTGCAGATGACTTTGGTGCAGATTTCACCATTGATTACTCCATGTTTGAGTCAGAGGACAGGCTGGTGAGTGACCTCTACATCTAAGAGGGTTAGGTTAAGTAACAATTAAAAAGAAATTGGCCGGGCACAGTGGCTCATACCTGTAATCCCAGCACTTTGTGAGGCCAAGCGAGTGGATCATTTGGAATCAAGAGTTTGAGACTGGCCTGGCCAACATGGTGAAATGCCATCTCTACGAAAAATACAAAAACATTAGTTGGACATAGTAGTGCATGCCTAAAATCCTAGCTACTTGGAAGGCTAAGGCAGGAGAATCACTTGAATCCAGGAGATGGTGGTTGCAGTGAGCCAAGATCGCACCACTACACTCCAGCCTGGGTGACAGAGCCAGACTCCATCTCAAAAAAAGAGAAAGAAATTGGCCGGGCACAGTGGCTCACGCCTGTAATCCCAGCACTTTGGGAGGCCAAGGCGGGTGGGTCACGAGGTCAAGAGATTGAGACCATCCTGGTCAACAAGGTGAAACCCCGTCTCTACTACAAATACAAAAATTAGCTGGGCATGGTGGCATGTGCCTGTAATCCCAGCTACTCAGGAGGCTGAGGCAGGAGAATTACTTGAACCCAGGAGGCGGAGGTTGCGGTGAGCCAAGATTGTGCCATTGCACTCCAGTCTGGGTAACAACAGCAAAACTCTGTCTCAAAAAAAAAAAAGTGAAAATACCGAAAAGAAAAGATAAAAGAAATGAAACTGGGCAATGTTGAAATGTTTCATGAAGAGAAACCAAGTAGTAGGCCCAAAACAGATTTGTTAACCTTATCTGGGGAGGAGAAAAAAGCTAAAACTTTATAAATTGTCCTCAGTAAGTTTGCTACGACACTGAGAGGGGCATCAAGGGACTTCTAAATGAGACGGGTACAAATCTATGCAAGCGTAGGGAGGGGGAATACCTGAGCTTGTTTTTGGGCTGGGCGGAGGTGGGGAAGGGGAGAACTTTAAATAGAGAATCTTTGAAGATGGTGGACGGAGAAAATGCTAACTCTGTGTTTCCCAAATCCCACTGAGGGTAGAACAGTTTGAATAAGGACATAACGGAAGCAGTAGGGACTACCATTCATCTTCAAACAGCACGTACAGACCATCAGAAGCCTGTAACTGTGAAACCAGTAACAACGGAACCAGTGAGTTGATTGGGGATTGGAGGCTGGGGGGAGACAGGACATCCCTAGTGATGTGCAGTAAATAGAGGGCTGCAATACCAGGCTTTTGAGGATAGGGAAACCAAACAATTAGTACTTCAGTGCAGGTATGCATCTCAACTTGGCCATATTTCACTGAGATTTAATACTAACCCTGTATACAGAACACTGGGGAGATATGGTACAGTTAAATTTCAGTTCAGTAGTATTCAATACCTATGTAATCTATGCCTAAGGCTGTTAAAGGTTGCTTATGCTGATAAAAAAGAAATCTATGATGTTATTGTCCTCAAGGAATTTATAAAATTGCATTTACAAAATACTTAGAACAAAATGAAAAGGTATGTTACAATGTTAAATTGTATATATATTTGAAAGCAGAAGACATTGGCAGTACTTTAGCCGGTGTAAGGAGAGAGATTAGTACAGGATAGAGCTGTATGAAAAGCTTTCAGGAGGCATTTGTGCCTGAGATACACCCTGGAGAATAGGTGAGCTTTTGATTGGTGGGTAGTTATGAAAGGATAAAAGCAATTAGGAAGAATCGTTATTCCAAGAGTGAAAGAGGCCAGGTACGATGGCTCACACCTTTAATCCCAGCACTTGGGGAGGCTGAGGTGGCCAGATCACTTGAAGTCAGCAGTTCAAGACTACTTCAGTGGCCAAGATGGTGATTGTTGGCCCATCTCTACTAAAAATACAAAAGTTAGTGAACTGTGGTGCTACGTGCCTGTAATCCCAGCTACTCAGGAGGCCGAGGCATGAAAATCGCCTGAACCTGGGAAGCGGAGGTTGCAGTGAGTCAAGATCACTCCACTGCACTTCAGCCTGGGCAACAGAGCAAGATTCCACATCTTAAAAAAAAAAAAAGAGTGAAAGACCTACACAGGAGGGGGAATAGAACAAGCATAGTACGTTTAAGGAATAGAGTATGATTGAAGGAAAGGGTATATGGACGGGAACAGTGGTAATTAAGAAAATATAAAATTTACAAGGCTCCTAATATTTGCTTGGTAATTTCACATGTGGCAACATAGAGCCAAATTTCAGAGTGTCTCAAGTGTCATGCTAAAGTTTGGACTCATAATCAATAAGGAGCCTAGTAAGGTCTTCCTTATGGTAAAAACATGATGAAAACTGTTCTTCTAGATAAACCAGCCGGGTGTGGTGGCTCATGCCTATAATCCCAGCACTTTGGAGGCTGAGGCAGGCGGATCACCTGAGGTTGGGAGTTCGAGACCAGCCTGACCAACATGGAGAAATCCTGGCTCTACTAAAAATACAAAATTAGCTGCACGTGGTGGCCCACGCCTGTAATCCCAGCTACTCGGGGGGCTGAGGCAGGAGAATTGCTTGAATCCAGGATGTGGAGGTTGCGGTGAGCTGAGATTGTGCCATTGCACTCCAGCCTGGATAACAAGCAAAACTCCGCCTCAAAAAAAAAAAAAGAAAAGAAAAACCACTCATCAGGTTGTATGCAGGATGTAAATAATTTAGTGGAGAGCAATTATGAGATTTGCGTTGTTCCAGAAACAATCTGGACTCTGGAAGTGGCATTATGAATGGAGAGGAGAAAAATAAGAAATATTTTGAAGAAAATACCTTCCTTAAGTGATAATTTTATATGAGGTATAAATGAGAGAGTTAAATAACTCATAGGTTTTAAACATGGATGTCTGGGAAAATGATTGACCAAAATAGGAACCATGGGACGCCAGAGTAGTTTAGGACATAAGTTTTATTAATTTGGTAGTGACCAAGCTGAGTTTATGGTGAAAATCCTATGAGTGTGTCCTAAAGGTCACTGAACTAGATCAGGGCTAGAGTTCTAAGTGCAAAGTCACAGTTATGAAAGTAAATGAGCTCAACAGAGCCAGTACACACCAGCTCAGAAGGCCAGTGACTATGCCTGCAGTGAGTGGGAGGAGGAGGAATTAGTGAATGGAAAGGAGAAGGATTTGACTGGAGAAGTAGGCAGATAGCCAAGTTTGTATTACAGAGTCTAGAAAAGAAAGTTTAATATAAGCGACCAAAAGCTACCAAGAGGCCAAGAAGAAGGAGGTCACTAGTAACTGTCAGGAAGGTAGTTTTAATTGAGTGCTTGGAGAAAAGCTAGATTTTTGTAGAGTTAAAAAGGGTGCACGTCACGAGGAAAGGGAGGTGAGTATAGACCAACCACCTAGAAAAGCTGGTAATGAAAAAGGCCGGGCGTGTTGGCTCACGCCTGTAATCCCAGCACTTTGGGAGGCCGAGGCGGGCGGATCACGAGGTCAGGAGATCGAGACCATCCTGGCTAACACGGTGAAACCCCATCTCTACTAAAAATACAAAAAAATTAGCCAGGTGTGGTGGTGGGCGCCTGTAGTCCCAGCTACTCAGGAGGCTGAGGCAGGAGAATCGCTTGAACCCGGGAGGCAGAGGCTGCAGTAAACTGAGATCGCACCACTGCACTCAAGCCTGGGTCACAGAGCAAGACTCTGTCTCAAAAAAAAAAAAAAAATCTGGTAATGAAAAAGCGAAGCAACAGCTGGAAAGGGAAATAGGACCAAAGAGCAACCTGCACATAGTTGAGCACAGATGAGAGAAGCCGGTAAGAGTGGAAAGTGAAAGATCAACAATAAGAGGAGGTAAATTTTTTTAAAGTATATAGTAGGCCAGGCATGGTGGCTCACACCTGTAATCCCAGCACTTTGGGAAGCTAAGGCAGGTGGATCACCTGAAGTCAGGAGTTTGAGACCAGCCTGGCCAACATGGCAAAACCCCATCTCTGCTAAAAATACAAATATTAGCCAGGCGTGGTAATGGGCACCTGTAATCCCAGCTACTCAGGAGGCTAAGGCAGGAGAATTGCTTGAACCCAGGAGGTGGAGGTAAAAGCAAGTGGAGATCACACCACTGCACTTCAGCCTGGCGACAGAAGAAGACTGTCTCAAAAAAATGGTAATAAACAAACAAATAAATAAATAAATAAAGTATATGGTAGACTCCCTTTAGATTGTAAATTCCTTGAGGTCAAGAATCTTGTCTTATTCATATTTATGTCCCTCCCTATAGCACCTAGCACAGTGACTAGCATAGTATCATGTGCATAATAGATACAAAATAGAAATAACTGAATTGAATTGGCCTCCCTGGTGTGGTCAGGGATGGCTGAAAAACACAGAAGAAAGGACTCCTTACAGTGATGGGGAGGGATGGATCTTTCTCTAAAGCCCAAAGGAAAGGGAGACAGAGGTTATTGTAAAGAAGTGGCAGTCCTTTCGGAGGGGGACAGAGAAGTGGTAGGAGGAATGATACCAGCCTACTGTTTTGGGATGTCTGTATTTTAGCAGAGTCCAGATCTGAACGATGCTGTGTCCAGTTTGCAGAGTCCTATTCCCCTCCTCCTGTCCTGTGCCCTTGTTCAGGCGGGGATGTATTTCATGTAGAAGGTAAGAGTGCAGCCACTGGCTTTGGGGAAGTCTGTGAAATAATTTCTTTTTAACTTCCCACACTAAACCAAAGCAATTCTTACCAGTATCGCTGGCTAGTGTTTCCAGCCTGGTCAATTATCATCTCCAGAAGGAAGAGATTCAGGCATAGTGGCTAATCCCTAAAATCCCAGCACTTTGGGAGGCTAAGGTGGGAGGATCACTTGAGCCAAGGAGTTCCAGACCAGGCTGAGCAACATAGTCTGAGACCAAGCTGAGCAACATAGTGAGACCTTGTCTCTACAAAAAATTTAAAAATAAATAACTCACTCTTCTACAAGAGGTTAAAAAAAATTAAAAATAAAAATTCGTTGGGTATGGTAGCACATGCCTGCAGTCCCAGCTACTGGGAAGTATGGGGTGGAAGGATCCCTTGAGCCCAGGAAGTGGAGGCTGCAGAGAGCCATGATCTGGCCACTGTACTACTGTCACTGGGCAACAGACTGAGACTCTGTCTCAAAAAAATAACAAGATGAAAGAAGAGGAATCACATTTAGAAAAATCTTTTTTTTTTTTTTTTTTTTTTGAGATGGAGTTTCACTCTTGTTACCCAGGCTGGAGTGCAATGGCGCGATCTCGGCTCACCTTTTTTTTTCCTGGGTTCAGGCAATTCTCCTGCCTCAGCCTCCTGAGTAGCTGGGATTACAGGCACGCGCCACCATGCCCAGCTAATGTTTTGTATTTTTAGTAAAGACGGGGTTTCACCATGTTGACCAGGATGGTTTCGATCTCTTGACCCCGTGATCCACCCGCCTCGGCCTCCCAAAGTGCTGGGATTACAGGCTTGAGCCACCGCGCCCGGCCAGAAAAATCTTATTCAGTCTTAAAAAAGTTTAGGAGATGCTGAAGTAGACTTTTGTGATGAGTTAATAATTTTTCTGAACTAAGAGGACTTCAGGATCTCCTAGAGCAGAGGCAGGTAGATGAAGGGGTGAGGGAAATACCTCTCCAGGCTTCCGAAATGTCTGGAACAATCAAAGCTAGTTCCAGCCTGGCCATGTTTCAAGTCACGGCGAGTATCAGAGGGCAAAATGGGTGGGTCCTACAACCTGGTAGAGTCAAGAGGCAAAGTTCAGAGGCAGAAGGGGTGGCGGTTCTCTGATATGTATGGCAGGGTGCGGGGAGAGAAGGGAAGAGAAACCTTTATTATAGGGTAAGAAGTTTTAAATTCAGAATTCTAAATAACCATCGAGCATAAAGAGATTCAGCAGGAGGTAAAAGGACTGTGGAGGAGGGGGGTACAAACGCATCTTTCCCAGGAGTTATCACAGAGCAATCCCAGCTCAGAATATCTAGGGAGTTTCCATAGAGGTGGGAGGTATGAGGGGTTTCCGGGTCTCCTGATTTTTTTTTTTTTTTTTTTTTTTTTTTTAGGTGGGAGAAGCCTGCTGTGACTCTCTGGCTGGGAGTTTGGCAAGAGGAAATTGGAAGATAAAATAAATGATAAAATAATCTGGTTACTGTCCGCTCCTTCATGAATGTCTGTTGTAAAGTCACAACTCAAGAGAGCACCAGGATTTAGAGACCGCAAGTGTAGACTGGAAGGAGAGTTGGGAGATAATAGAATTAGAGGACATTATGGACTGTGAATAAACCTGCAGTTTGGGGAAGACTGGAGGGCACCCACAGACAGCAGGTTTATTCGAAGTCCACATTGCTAATTCTGTTGTTTTATTTGATTAAATATGGTGTTGAAACAGTGTGCTTGGGGAAACGGGATTGCGGTTTATTTAGAATCTTTTTTTTTATAAGAATAAGCCCATTGTTAAAACATAATGTAAAATATCAAAAACTACTTAGAATATATTTAAAATATTCACACCTACCCACCCCCACCCACACCTCTGTCCAACAATGCGCCTTTTGCAGCAGTTGGTAATTATGGCAGGGACAAACTCACTTAAAATTTTTAATTCTCTATCCTCCGGACCCTAATCAGAATTGGGCTGCCCCCTTGCGGTCTCTCCGACATCCTATTTTCAACCAGCTCACCGTCCTTGTGCCCTGCTCTCCTCTCCATTGTACTCAAAATGCAAGGCGCAGCGACAGTAGTAACGTCCCATTTACTTCTGAGACTCTCTAAACTCTGGACTTGCCTCCCTCCCCTCCTTCAAAGTCTTCGGAATCTCCTCCAGGGGACAGATGAAGGCACTGAAGCTGAACAAAGCCATAACCTAGGAGATCAAGGACCTACCCCGCTGTTTCCCATGCTTGGAATCAGATAATTCAGGACGCCGGGCCGGAGAAGCCTGGACAAAAAAGTCAGGAAAAACTGAGTTTCGTTTTGACCTCTAGCGTCGTGGCGGGCTGGCATCTGAGCTGGTAACGTGCGTGGTACGTTATGTAAGAAAAGGGCTAGAGGAGCCGCCCCAGCGGGAGCCAGAGAGGACGCGGTGTTCTCGGCCGCAATCCCCACCCTCCTCACCCAGCAGGGCAGGAGGCACCCAACGTGGAGGAGAAAGGGGTGGGGGAGGTGAAACGGAGACCGGAGAGTCACGAGGGCCAGGCCGCCAAGAGAGGGAGAATATACCGCGTCACACACCTGCATTCTCTAACACACGTTGCAGACACAAATCACTGATGGTTTCCACGTGCTGCGACCGTGAGCGGAGGTGCTCAAAGAGGGGGCAGATGAGTTAGTTCCTGAGACGGAACCGGGGGCGGGGGGGGGGGGGGGGGGGCGTCCCACGTCCGGAGACGCACGGCTTCAGTAGCGCAACCAATCTCGGAACACTCGAGCCGCGCGTTTCCAGCGCATCACCATCCTATTTAAGGCCACCGGCTCCGCCCTTTTCCTCCCCTCCCTTCTTTTCCACTCTTTTTTCCATCCTCCTCCTTTTCTCACCACCGGGTCCTCTCCGGGAGCCGCATGTAGGGGCGGAGCACGAAACGCTTCCCTTCCAGCCAATCATCACCTGGCTGCCTCTCTATTGGCTGAGCCCCTTTGTACTGTAGCAAATGGGCCGTGGACTTCAGTAACGAGAGTCACGTGTTACCGGCGATGCAACCAATGAGGGAGCGAGATCTGTGTACGCAGGGGGAGGCACGTGCCGGGCTGCACGTGTCTGGGAGGGGGAAGGGGCGGGGCCCACTGAGAGAGGCGGAGGTGGGTTGCCAGACTGGGAGAGCCGGAGAAGGAGCTGGAGACCGAGCCTGGGCTGAGCAGGCTGACACAGGTAAGGAGATTCGGAGGAAAAAGCAAGCTGTTGGGGAGGATTGGACCCAGAGGGAGTGGGTTTGGGGGCTGAATGCAGATCTTGGTATTGCAAGGGTTTGCATCACGTGGCAGGCGAGAGCCCAGAGAGACCGGCGCAGGGATCCTGATCTCCAAACCTTGGGAGACGGCAGGAGGCCAGTCTGTGGGGGCGGTTCCTGTAGGGTCACTAGGTGGGTTCGCGTGCTCAGATTGACCGCTTGTGGGTGGCATGGCCTCAGGTGGAGAGGCTTGCTGCGGACTCAGGCGGGCAAACAGCCCTGGCGAACAGCGGGCCGAGGGGAGGGTGTCTTTCAAGTCAGGTATTTACTCTGAACGGAGGGTGAAAAGAACGGAGGCTGCGTCAGGCTGAGAGCTGCTCTGCCGAGGCCAGAGTGGGAATCCCAGGTTCTTAATGGACGGGGGTGGGGGTGGAAATGTCTTTTTCTTTTGTCTCTGAGACAGGTAATATTGGGGAGGGGGAGAACAAGTGTTATCCCACGCAGTACACCCCAATCTCCCAGTCCATTTCCTAATCCTAAACTCCGGTTTCAAACTCCCTCGCTTTGCTCTTCAGTTGCAGGTTCCGATCTTTGGGTACTCCAGGAGCTGCTCTCCAGCCCCTGCTTCTGGACCTATGGATTCTCCATCTAGTGTTTCTTCCTATTCCTCCTACTCTCTCTCTTCGTCTTTTCCCACCTCCCCAGTGAACAGTGACTTTGGCTTCCCCTCTGATAGTGAGAGGGAGGACAAGGGGGCCCATGGAACCAGGCCAGACACTGTTGGGCAGAGGGGAGGTTCACGGCCCAGCCCAGGTCCTATCCGCTGCAGGCATCGATCAAAAGTTTCCAGTAACCAACATACACCATCTCATCCGGAACAGCGAGGCTCAGCTTCTCCTATGGCAGGATCTGGGGCGAAAAGAACAAGAGATGGTGAATTGGAGACCAGTCTAAACATCCAAGGTTGTACCACAGAGGGAGACCTGCTGTTTGCCCAGAAGGTAAGAGAAAGCAGGTGAAAGGAGACTCTCCTGGAGTGGCTTAGCACCCAGCCGGTTGGTAAGGACTCTATGAGGACAGTAATGACTCCCAGATTTGGAAGTGAAGTTAGAGCCACTGGTGGTGTATGCAGCTCTGAGTCTTCTCATAGCATCTGTCCTGTTTTCCTACAGTGTAAAGAACTCCAAGGATTTATACCTCCTCTCACAGACCTTCTCAATGGGCTGAAGATGGGTCGTTTTGAGAGAGGTAATCTCATTAGTTGCGTTCATTTGGGCTAGGTTCATTTCTCTTTCTCTTTTCTTCTTTTGACATGTATTTCTCTTAAGTTCTTGTTTGGGGCCTGTATTACTCCTTTTTTGCTACGATGACTAAATTTTTTTTTCTTGATACGGAGTTTTGCTCTTGTTGCCCAGGCTAGAGTGCAGTGGCGTGATCTTGGTTCACTGCAACTTTCGCCTCCTGGGTTCAAGTGATTCTTCCGCCTCATCCTCCCAAGTCGCTGGGATTACAGGCGCCCACCACCACACCCAGCTAATTTTTATCTTTAGTAGAGACTGGCCAGGCTGGTCTTTTGAACTCCTGACCTCAGGTGATCCACCTGCCTTGGCCTCCCAAAGTGCTGGGATTACAGGTGTGAGCCACCACACCTGGCCCCACTTAATTTTTTTAGATCAATCTATTTAAACCCCCTTCCGTCCTTCCTTTACCTGACTACATGCTTGAATCTCAATCCTTAATCTCTCTCTGTCCCTGTCCCCAGGATTAAGCAGTTTTCAGCAGAGTGTGGCAATGGACAGGATCCAGCGTATTGTAGGTGTTCTGCAGAAGCCACAGATGGGGTAAGTCCCCTGGTTCTTTCTTTGGGTCTTCTTAAAAAATGAGATTTCTCCAACCCTGTTGTTTTTTTTTTAAACAATGTCATTTTCACAG